GAGAGAGTTTATCCAGAATCACAATGTGGATTCAGAGCTGGCAGGTCCACCATCGACATGGTCTTTTCCCTCAGACAACTGCAGGAGAAATGCAGGGAACAGAAGCAGCCACTCTTTGTAGCCTTCATAGATCTGACGAAGGCCTTCGACCTCGTCAGCAGGGATGGCCTGTTCAAGATCCTCCCCAAGATCGGATGCCCACCCAGGCTCCTCAGCATCATCAGATCTTTCCATGAGAACATGAGGGGCACCGTGGTCTTTGATGGCCTAACATCAGGCGCCTTTGACATCCGAAGTGGAGTAAAGCAGGGCTGCGTACTGGCTCCAACCCTATTCGGGATTTTCTTCGCAGTTATGCTGCGGCACGCCTTCGGATCTGTCACGGAAGGCATTTACCTCCGGACCAGGTCGGATGGGAAGCTCTTTAACCTCGCCAGGCTGAGAGCCAAGACAAAGGTTCGGCTGAGGTGTCTGCGCGACTTCCTCTTTGCCGACGACGCAGCAGTCACTGCCCACTCAGCTAAAGACCTCCAACGGCTCATAACCCGCTTCAGCGAGGCCTCTCAGGCTTTCGGACTCACCATCAGTCTGAAGAAAACACAAGTCATGGGACAAGGAGTGGACTCCCCACCTGACATCGGCATCTCTGATTCCAAACTGGAAGTTGTTCACGACTTCGTGTACCTGGGCTCCACAATCTCTGACTCCCTCTCTCTTGATACGGAGCTAAACAAACGCATCGGTAAGGCATCTACTACCATGTCCAGACTGACAAAGAGAGTGTGGGCCAACAATAGGCTAACTGAGTATACTAAGATTCAGGTTTACAGATCCTGTGTCCTGAGCACTCTCCTTTATGGCAGTGAGTCTTGGACACTCCGCGCCCGTCAGGAAAGACGGCTGAATGCCTACCACATGCGCTGCCTTCGACACATCTTGGACATCACCTGGCAGGACAAGGTGACAAACAACAACGTCTTGGGGAGAGCAAGAATCACCAGCATGTACACAATGCTGAAACAGAGACGAATGCGCTGGCTCGGGCACGTTGTGCGAATGGGCGACGGCAGGATCCCCAAGGATCTCCTGTATGGAGAGCTGAGGCAGGGAAAGCGTCCAGTAGGCAAGCCCCAGCTACGGTACAAAGACGTATGCAAAAGGGACCTGAAAGCCATGGACGTCGATCTTGCTATATGGGAGACACTGGCTACAGACCGTTCAGCCTGGAGGCAGTCTGTTCAACGAGGTCTCTCCAAGTTCGAGGAGTCACTTGCCAAGGAATCGGAGGCAAAGAGACAGAGAAGGAAAGCCGGTAACCAGGAAGACAGACCAGAATCGGACTTCGTTTGTGCTCGGTGTGGGATGGACTGCCACTCTCGGATTGGCCTCATCAGTCACACCAGACGCTGCACCAGGATTGACAACTAGGGCGCAACTCCATAGTCTCCCGAGACTGAAGGATGCCTACTACTACTACTACTACTAGTAGGCCTAGTATAGTAGGCCTAGCAATATTTGTTTTAAGCTTCATTTTTTCCGACTATAAAGTGAATAGTACAAAGTTCTACTATCTAATTCCTTAGAAGGACAATCTCTGTACTACGGCGCACATAGTTACAAAAACTACTATCTAAATAGGAGAATGGGTTGTCTGATAGCATTTAACTTAACCCTGCTCCGACCAGTCTATGTCCGTCCCATACCCTAGAGCAACCCTTGTGCAAATTTGGGTGCGGCTAGTCCCGATCGCCTGGTCTCCAACTTTGGACAGACATTCCCTTATAATATATATATATATATATATATATATATATATATATATATATATATATATATATATATATATATATATATATATATATATATATTTTACTACACACACACATCACAAACACAACTCGTAAAACATTCACAAACACACAAGCCACAAAACACAAACCACAAACACACAACATCTTAACAAAAGGAATTCCTAAGGTGTAGCCATTGTTATGAAAAAGTTGTCTAGTGACTTCGCTTCCCAGCTGCTTGACACGTCCGCCCGGGGCGACGCTGCTACCCAAATATACCTCATAGATGCTTCTAAACACTATATAGTGAGAGAGAGACTGGCTAGGATAGGATAGAACAGGGAACTGTTGGAAGGTCAGACCCCAGTCATCCTCCCCGGGGCACTGCGGTGATACAAGGAGACTGTTGTTGCACGCTTTCCGTTATTTCTACCGTCCAACCCAACTACTTGGGCTGGACGGTAGAGCGACGGTCATGCTTCATGCAGGTCGGTGTTCAATTCCCGACCTGTCCAAGTGGTTGGGCACCATTCCTTTCCCCCGTCCCATCCCAAATCCTTATGCTGACCCCTTCCCAGTGCTATATGGTCGGAATGGCTTGGCTCTTCCTCCTCATAATTCCCTCCCCCCCCTCCTTGTTTTACCTACTGATACCCCCCAACCCCCCCCTTCTCAACCACCCATTACCCCAGAACCTCAACCTATCCAGAGTTATCACTAGTATCTAGTTGATCTAGACGATACTAGATCTAGTACCTAAGTGGGTACTCTAGTACCAGGTGAGTCCCCAACACCTGGCATCGTGGACACTCACCCCCTCCCCATGGGGTGCCCCTGCCCCTCAGGGGAGCACAGACGCTACACTGCAGCCCACCCCTGCCCCTGCCTCAGGTGGAGCCCACCTGTACAGTGGGTCAGTGGGGCCGCCACCTGACACACTTTCTTTACGTGGGGCATTCCTCGCTCCTGCCCGCCTTCCCTCCTGCATACCCGCCCGCCTGCCCGCCTTCCCTCCTGCATACCCGCCCGCCTGACCGCCCATATACCCCACTAATTACCCACATGCCCCTCAACGTACGGGTCTTATGGCCAGGGGCCTCCCACGTACCACAGGAGGCCAAGCCTACTGTGGTCTCCAACACCACCACCACACTATGAACCCCCTCCCTGCTTCCCTGGCCTCCTGGTACACCCTGGGGACACCCTGACACACCCTGGGTACAGCCTGGCACACCTTGGGTACACCCTGACACACCCTGGGTACAGCCTGGCACACCCTGGGTACACCCTACCCTCCTGGCACACCCTGGAGTCACCTTAGCCTCCTGGCACACCCTGGGGTCACCCTGACACACCCTGGGTACACCCTAACCTCCTGGCACACCCTGGAGTCACCTTAGCCTCCTGGCACACCCTGGGGTCACCTTAGCCTCCTGGCACACCCTGGGGTCACCTTAGCCTCCTGGCACACCCTGGGGTCACCTTAGCCTCCTGGCACACCCTGGGGTCACCTTAGCCTCCTGGCACACCCTGGGGTCACCTTAGCCTCCTGACACACCCTGGGGTCACCTTAGCCTGGCATAACATCACAGGGTTGTGGTGAGGTGTGTGTGTGTGTGCCGGGACCAACCGGTGGGAGCCGGATATTGGAGTGCGTAGTTGAGCACCGTACATGACTGGCATAGTGACCATCACCACTATGGACCACTCTCGTCTACCCTCCAAAACCTGAGACAACTATGTACCCCTTTGACGTCACCGCTACACACACCTAACCTAACCAAAATAGATAAAATACTGAGTGCTATATATATATATGGCGAGCGTAAAGTGTATGACGTGATAATGTCGATGCCAGTACAGGAGTTAGGCCATACATGGAGAGGCGTCGCCTGAGCCCTCTCCCACGGGTACTACTGCGTCGTTGTCGCCCACTAGTTCACAACTAGTCAAACCACCGACCGGTTGGCCTGGTCGACGACCGGGCCGCGGGGACGCTAAGCCCCGGAATCACCTCAAGGTAGGTTCTCTCGCTTGGCCACTGCGTCAATCATGGCTACGGTTACCTGACCACAACCTATCAACCCAAACAGCCCCTCTAACCTCTCGAGGTCGATGAAGAGAAAATGTCACTATTATATGTCGCATTTTTTGACCGGAGAGGACGAGTGCTTTATAATGGGATGCTGGATGTGGAGTGATTACGGGCTATTCATGCCCGTGCCACCTCTTGGGTGGCTTAATCTTTATCAATCGTGGGGTGATGACCAGTGCCTTCTCGCGGACCTATGATGGTCCTGGGCACCGGGGAGTTCTCCACCACTGTGTGGGGGCATTGCTACAGTGTACCCAGGCGGCGGTGTATGGAGTGTGGGGGTACCGGTATGTGGGGTACCGAGGACACTCAGGGGGGGGGGTGCCAGGAGGCCAGCGTGTACCCGGGGGATGCGAGGGTGCCCTAGGGAGTGCCAGGCGTGTGGTACTGTTACTGCCAGGGTACTCTTCTTTATCTCCTCCCTTGGAGTACACCTGCACCAACACTTCCCTTGGCACGTGGAATATTGGTCACTAAAGTCTTTTCAATGTATTTAATAACTATCTAAGATCATCAACTTGTGCAAGTTTGTGTAGAAGGGCGCTAACTTGGGGCACCTGTTGTGATCCACAAGTCCCTGTACCTTTTGTAGAACTATACTAATACTTCAAAGGAGTTCCAGTATCCTTCGGAAGCACCCTGGGATCATGAGGACTAGTAATCCTGTGAAGGAGCTGTGGGAGTGTGTATCTTGGCTTCCGTCTGTGACACTTACGATTAGTTAAGGATTGCATCATTCAACAGTCGCCTGGCAATGGTGTGTCGGGACCATTTCCTTGATGTGGCCCCCATACCCACTGTGGAAGTCAAGACGTCAGGCTAGCCACGACGTCGTTGGTGCGGGAGACGTCAGTGGCGCGAGAGCTGTAGCGCCAGGGATGTGTATGTATGTGAAATGGCACACCCCCAACCACTTGGACCATCAGGGATCGAACACCGACCCTGCAAGAAGCGAGGTTGTCGCTCTAGCCAGTCCAATCGACTTGAGAATGGTCCAGGACGGACCGAAACGTCGTCGTCGTCCCTTCAACTTCTAGTGTGTGGTCTGGTCAACATAGCCAGTCCAAGTGGGCAAGGCAGGCGCAAGAACAGGAGGAGGAAGTGCATGTACTCACCCTTTCGGAGCCCTCAGTGAGCTCGAGGCAGCGGAACTCGAGGAGGTCAGCGTGGTCCTTGGTCTCCTGCAGCTCCACCCTCAGTGTGGCGGCCAGGGCCTCCAGCTCCAGCACCCGCGCCGACAACCACCACGCCGCCGCCCCATCTATAACAACAACAACAACATGGTTAACTGTCCTCTCACAACACAACCATCACCAGTATACTTCCCCCCCCCCCTAACCTTGCTGCTCCACTCATTATCATGCTAACTATACCTCACCTATTCTTGGCCAACTATACACGACCTATTCTTGGCCAACTATACACGACCTATTCTTGGCCAACTATACGCGACCTATTCTTGGCCAACTATACGCGACCTATTCTTGGCCAACTATACGCGACCTATTCTTGGCCAACTATACACGACCTATTCTTGGCCAACTATACGTGACCTATTCTTGGCCAACTATACACGACCTATTCTTGGCCAACTCTACGCGACCTATTCTTGGCCAACTATACGTGACCTATTCTTGGCCAACTCTACGTGAAATATTCTTGGCCAACTATACACGACCTATTCTTGGCCAACTCTACGTGACCTATTCTTGGCCAACTATACGTGATCTATTCTTGGCCAACTATACGTGACCTATTCTTGGCCAACTCTACGTGACCTATTCTTGGCCAACTCTACGTGACCTATTCTTGGCCAACTATACGTGACCTATTCTTGGCCAACTATACACGACCTATTCTTAGCCAACTTGCATTCTCTCCAGACTCCACGTATGACTGACCATCCTGTGAGATGGGGATATTAGATGAAGCCTTAATGTACACTGTGTAATCCCTCGTATAGATCAGGTAGCAGCACAGTGTTGTGTGTACAACAATGCTGGTTATTACTGATGGTTAATAATAAACAACAATATGGTGTGGTGACCTGCGGGGACATACCACGGGGACATACACACCGTGAGGGGTATACTTCATATATCGATATACATAAAGTTTACTTCAGTTCTGGATTATAGTATACTTGCTGGTTGCTCAGCAGGAAATGGCCTCCAAATCCCTCCGGAGGTTTAATAGGCCTTAAGCCCAACACCAAATCAATGAAATTAAATAAATAACATTTGCATAACTGCCAGGTACCTATTTACTTCAAAGTGAACAGGATTACAAGGTGTAAGGAAATGTGCCCAAACGTTCTGACGCGGGAAGCGTGGTCCATTTTGCTTGGAGCACAATATGGGCTCCCCGTTGCATTACACGCTCCTCGCAGACACGAATTTCATACAATTTAATAAAACACTTTCCCGTGAAGGCGAGGTTTTCAATTATCTTGTTATACACAAACTATGCCCAATTTTAGGGCATAGTTTAGCCTTCCGTCAAATGTCTCGGTTACATTACTTCTTCTATCAACCTCAATAAAGTTTGAAATAAAGGAGGGACGGAATGTCAAGAGTTGAAAATGATCTTTAATCAAGTCTCCTTTCATCATAAAAATAATATGTCAAGTTATATTTGTCCCCCCGTGAAGACATTTTCTTTCAAGACAACACGTTCGCTACAGAAAACGATACATTCATAGATTTAAGGGGGTAACTAAACTATATCTCATTCCTCGTTAATGCCGTTATTTTTGTTAATGATATGGTTGGAATATATTTGATTTATATAACATACAGAAAGCCCTAACCAAGGCGAAGGAGCGCATGACAGCTCAAGCAAGATAACCGGGACACTTTTGTTAACAGTCTCAACTCGCACACCCCTAAGTTAGGCATGGAAGGATATTAAAAGAATTAAAGGCGATAAGATCGGCCAAGTAGCACACCCTCACCCTCTACACAGAGCAAACGAGTTAGTCGATGCTTGGGCAACCACCTCTAGCTTCAATAACCTTCCCCCAGACACACAATTCAGATTAAATGCTGGTTACAGAGATCGAGAAAGGCTTGTTGACTTCATGTTCCACAAGGAAGATGAATGCAACGTGCCATTTACTGAGTTTGAGTTACTTTCGGCCGTAAACAAAGGTAAAGCCACATCCCCCGGTGAGGATGGTACCTGAAATAACAGTCCTGTTATTTCCTGTTGTTGTTACGGCAGTCATATTTCTACTACCAGAAATTTTAGCCAAATATTCCCAGTTTGCAAACTGTAGGTAGTAACTAAGTGATTGTAACCTATCCACCGCTGCCCACTGGATGGGGGGCGGTGTGCAGGACAAACATATCAATTGTGACACTAGGCTCTCCACATATGTCAGTTGCTTAATTTAGAAACTGTACTTGTGGTCGATCTCGAACCATTGTTGATGTGACGACTTATATTGAATTTTGTAACTAGCTCATCAAGGTTGTAACTTGCTTAGCTAAATAAATTGTGGGGTTCAGTCCCAGAGCCCATTATGTGCCTCTGTAACCCTTTCCACTACCGCCCACAAGATGGGTATGGGGTGCATAATAAATGAACTAAACTAACTAGGAGAGAACACTCTTCATGGTGAGTGGAACAGCCTCGTCATGATGATACTAGTTAGATAATTAAACTGTACACAAGTCTATTACCTTCGCCTCGTTGAGCGCCAGTTATACGTAATAAAAACCTGCTAAAACTATGTTGTCTATTATTTTAGTCTTAATATAAAATTGTGTATGAGCCATAGTTCTAACCCGAGAGGGGGGGGAGGGTTCCGGGATCATTGTCCCCGCCGCCTGGCGACTGACGAGGCCTCCTGGCTGACAGTCTGCTCCACCAGACTGTTGGACACCGCTGCACGCACGGGGGAATAGAAATAGCCTAAGCTACTCTATCCCTTTGAGATGTATTTCTTTCTTGTCTCAATAAACATACTTGAACTCACAGCCCCCTTGATCAAACCCCTTTGGAGGTGGTGTTCAGAATTACACGTAAGCACATTTTATGGAAACATCAGAATAGCATTGAATTGAAATAAGTTTATTGAGGTAAAATACACACAAAGAGATGAGGTAGCTCAAGCTATTCTCACCCCGTTCAGTACATCGTGTTAATACATACATATAAACACATCACAAACAATAAACATATTACCAAACATTCTGAGAGAAACCTGTGGACTCACTCACCTTTTCCCGGAAAGTTGGTGACAGGGGAGGTGGCGGCTGACGTGGACGCCAGCAGCTGATACGACTTCTGAAGCTCCTGGTGTTCCTTGGATAACTGCGCATAATGGTTGCTCATCTCGGTAACCTGCAGTATGCAACACACCTTTATTACATGGACACCAATATATATGCTTAGATAACGTTATGTTACAGTTGAACTTTTGTATTAATTATTATTAGAGAGAAAAAAAATGAGTGAGTGAGAAATTGGAATAGTTATACGTGGTTCCGTAATCGTTTTCTTTAAACGACCAGATATTTGATACAGAAAACGATGCATTCATGGTTATAGCGGGTAAACTAAAATATTTTCTTTAACTTCTTAAGTTTAAATGCAGTTTTAATAATCCAATAATTTCCGTTTTATAATAATAATAATAATAATAATAATAATAATAATAATAATAATAATAATAATAATAATAATAATAATAAAGAAAATCCGTAGGAGCCGTGATGAGGATTCAAACCTGTGTGGTGCGTGTTCCTGTGTGTTCCTAAATTATATTATGGTGAGAATAACCATTATATAACCCTAATAATTATATGTAATCTTAACAATAATAGGATAAAAACCAACACTTACGTAATTTGTGAAATTTATATAAAGATTTACACCAAGTCTGTCGCACTCTCCTGAGTCCTTTGTCAAGGTGTGAGTGTGAGGTCTTAAGGTAGGACTTACACGTCTTAAGGATGCTTATACTACAGTACTTAGGGTGATTAAGACCCCTTCCCCCCCATCACGGGAGACATCTCCCGTCACGCAGGGTGCAGTCGCACCTCCACAGATCTCCAGTATCATCTATTGATACTGGTAATGGCTCAAAAGGGCCACCACTTACGGGCTATTCATGCCCGTGCCACCTTTTGGGTGGCTTCATCAATCAATCAATCCCCCCCCATACACCAGTGACTACCCTCCTTCAGGGTACAACCCACAACAGTTGTCTAACTCCTTGATACCTATTTCGGTGCTAGGCATCAGGACCGAGGCATCAGGCGAAATGAAACATGTCCAGCCGTTACTACCCTGCCCGGGGAACTGAACCCGGGTCCGTAGATTATGAACCGAAGACGCAGTGGCTGGCCATCAGTTCTAAATACCAAGTAATGCAACATTTACCAGTGTTCCCCTCACTGGAGGAGCTCCTGTAGAGAGCGTTGCAAGGCCACACTCTCCTCTCCACTCCACACTCTGCTACACATCTTTGTGTCATCTCATGATGAGGTATTTGGCCCCGGTTGTAACTTCCTCTGCCGATGATGTGTTTGAAACATACTCCCGCCATTAATTCCCTTTCCGTTAGAGCTATTGCACCATGCAGATTCTGAGCATCCCTTGTTGTTTAATGCCTCACTGTTGGTTGATGTGAAGTTCACTTTCCACACACTACTGCGCCTCGGCCCCCTAGATGTTTTGTCCTTTCTGAATGGTGGGTTGTGCCCTCCGAGCAGTGGCAAGTGGTCCTAAGAAGCCAGGTAAACATAGCCAACCCTATACAATTATTACCTTCTAAATTAAAATATTGTTATTTAGGTAACATTATTTATTTTCATTGTATAGAGCATTCTACACTTTCTGAAGGGCCTCGGGTTTTCAAGCGGCAAATTCCGCTTGATAATCTGTCCCTCAAATACCGAACATTACAATTTGGTGTAGCCCGTTCCGCTCTCTTGCAGCGTAAAATGCTACGTCACTGCCAGATGCAAGATGAAAACTAGTAATGTAACTTGTGTTACTCCACTTTCTTCAAAACCTTATACATAAAGTTCAGATCAATTTAATATGTTGTGGAAACCATTCCGATGTTGGAATGTCGTCCCCAATAATATTTGTTACTGTCACTCAGTATAACTGGAGTGTTGTGAAGCAAATGGTAGAGTATCTTGAGGTTATCTTGAGGTTATTTCGGGGCTTTAGTGTCCCGCGGCCCGGTCCTCGACCAGGCCTCCACCCCCAGGAAGCAGCCCGTGAGAGCTGACTAACACCCAGGTACCTATTTTACTGCTAGGTAACAGGGGCATAGGGTGAAAGAAACTCTGCCCATTGTTTCTCGCCGGCGCCTGGGATCGAACCCAGGACCACAGGATCACAAGTCCCGCGTGCTGTCCGCTCGGCCGACCGGCTCCCTAGTAAGTAGGGAGCAAAGCAAAGCAAGTAGGAGTAAGCAAATGAGACTGAAGATCTCTGAAGTCTGAATATTAATAACACAAATATTAATTTAACATATAAAATAGGACGTAGTAACAAAATATTATGTTAACATCATATTAAACATAGTTCAATGGAATTCCTCTTGGTTTACGAAGAAGAATACAAGAATTCAGTATATTTGACAAGACTTTACATCCTTACGTACTCCATACCCTTATCACGTGAAACCAGAGGCCATGCCTAACAAAAGTGTTGGCACACAGTACTCTAGAAAATGGGCTCGCCATAGCCCGTGCTGCTTGGAACTTATTGTTCCAGGTAGCGAATCTTAAACAACAACAGGACTCTCAGCCTGGTGGACACTACAGCCCAATATGACATTACAGGTCAGAGTTCAAACCCCGAGAGTGTGAGTAACATTTTGTTAACGCAGAAATACACAAGTGTGAGTCTTAAGCTTACCTGTGGCCAGACGGGCGGCTCCGTGCCAGGGGTGGTGGGCGTGAGGAAGGTGGTGGGCGTGGCAGGAGGCTCCTCCAAGGTAAAGGCCGGGAACTGGTTCGGGGCGTTGTTGTGTGGGGTGGTGGTGGGCGTGGACGTGGGCGAGCTCTCTTCGTCACTGTTCTGTTCCATCACTGTTGGCAGCTCTGACACCTGTGGGACATGTGTAAGTGTTTATTTACATTCTTCCACCAACACTTTCACAACCTAACACCCCAGGGTAAGGTAAGGGAATTATTGGGAGAAAGCACCAAGTCATTACGACTATGTAGCACTGGTGGGAAGGGGTCAGGATAAGGATTGGAATAGGTCGGAGGGAAAGGAATGGTGTCCAACTACTTGGACGGTCGGGGATTGAACGCCGACGTGCATGAAGCGAGATCGTCGCTCTACCGTCCAGTCCAAGTGGTTGAGCAACCTAACACCCCAAGAATTAAGGAAACTGCAGAAGGCCAATTGACCCATATGAAACAACTCCTCCTTTTATATCCAGCCAAAACTCGTACATATATACGTCTAACCTACACTTGAAACAATACAATGTACCCCACATCCATTATGTTACCCGGAAATGTCTTCCATACACCAACCACCCTATTTCTAAACCACAAGACACAACTTATGAGACTTAAGTGTACATTTTGAATTTGTTATTAGTGTTTCTTGCGATATATAACATGTTAACAGAGTCGTTCAATATCCCCCTAACTTACTCCTGAGCTCTGAGGCACCAAGCATCCAACGCTAATAAACTGAACCCAATAGAGAAACAGACTTGAAACCCCTTCACACACAGAGATCACACTAACGTGATGCATCAAATGATTAAGGCAGTGTCTGGGATGCTCCTGGACGCAGGTTCGAATCCTCATCACGACCCTTGTGGATTTGTTCATTTGAAACCCCTTATTTAACTCATCTAATGAATAAAATGATCTTTGATTATAATAAATGTAATGTTATACATACAGGAAATATTAATTATAATAGCTCTTAGAAGAATCTCATAGAGGTTAATAAAGTCAATAAACATGATACGAGTGATAGTTATTAGTTATCTTATCATAGTTATCTTCAGTAAAGTTATGTATTGTGGCCGTTACAAAAATAGGACAATACAATATTAGGCTTCATTGAGAGTATGTTTAAATTTCAATGCGAAAAAGTCATCCTCACCTTGGCAAACTTTCACTCAAGCAAAGCCAACTGTTCTTTAATCAAGAAGTAAAGACATGGAACATCTCAACTAAATTCACATCCAAAAATCTTCATTCATAAATATATTTACATTTTTAAATTGGATTAGCTTATATAAAATTACAGTACATTATTTAGGCTGTCATAATAACATAACATGTAATCATTATAAACTGTATAATCTAGATCAATTATACATTTCAGAGTAATACCGTGTATACATATACAAATACATTATACAACTGCTTCTCTTCAAACCCGCATCTTACATGGAATGCTTCATCATTAGCTTCATCTAATCAAGCAGCCTAATGATCAACCGCAGTTTAAAACGCCTTGTAACGTTTCTTGTTGTAGGTTCTGGAACAGAAAGTTCCAAGTAGCACGGGCTATGGTGAGCCCATTGCCTTGTAAATCTTTCACAGGCTCCCACGCCTCGTTCCAGCTGAGCCTAGCGAGGAAGCTGTCACCCAGGAATCCACCCGCACGACTCCTCA